TCTTTCCCTCAACCTCCTCTGATACTGAATCTTAAAGCATTGTAGTCCATCCTCCTCTTCAATAGAAACATTCTTATGGAAGAAATTCAGATTTTCCTCCCTCTCTCCACTTTGAATCTCACTATCATTGCATGTAAGTCGTCAATTGTAGTGTGGGGGTAGGTACTTCCTCTATGGGTCCCTCAAATTCTAGTAAATCGTTGTTGAAGGCGGCAGATTTCCTGTTGTTGAAGGCGGCAGATTTCCCGTTGCTTGAACAACTTCCAACATTTGTCTTCTCAATCACATGGCTAAGGTTTAGATTTGGGAGGTGAAGTGTATAGGATTGATTTATGGTGGTCTTTTTTTTTTTTTGGTTGGGGCGGAGCGGGACGAGGCTGATTTTGAAAAAAAAAGGGGGGAATGATTTTGAGTGGAGTTTGGGTTAGGTATTGATGGATTTTGGGTGACCTAGGATCAAACTATGGGGATAGTTCTGATACCAAATGATGTCAGGGTGTAACCAAATACCAATAAAAGCACATATTATAGATGAATTCAAATATGAAATTACAATAAAACAAGTGGAACTCTAAAATTGCAGCAAAAATAACACACAACACTAGACTTGGGAGGATCTAGGGTAAAGGTGGTGTCAGCTAGGGATTTTAAAGGTAACAGGGGGTGAAAATACATGGTTAACAAGCTGGAAACACCAAGGTGGTTGTTTTCTAGTGCCTAGATAGCAGACTGGCTGCAGAAACAGTAGCAGTAGGGCACGATTTTGGGTGACGACAACAAGGAGGAAGGTATAAGATGGTGGGGAAGGTTGGCCCGGTGCTAGAGGGCGGCGGGTTACAAAAAAATAGCAGCATAGAAAGCAGGAACAACAAGGTAGGAGCGGATCTGGGTGAGGGCAGCCATGGTGGAGCAACGAGTTGAAAGAAGACGGTGTGGGAAAGGGATAGAGAGGGGTATGAGAAGGATAAACATTATCCCAATAACAAGATATAGTTGGAGCACTACTCGGAACCCTTGGATACAACCCTAAGATAGAGGAGGGAGACTCCGACAGTGGTCCCGAAACAAAAACAGCAAAAACTAACCCTAGACACCCACGAAATCAAATAAATAGACATAGGAGTGAACCCCACTTCCCATAGGCAGCACTCCCAAGTCTTTGAGGGTTCGGCCAACCCCAATACATCTTGGACCGGTTCAGTCCAGGCATCCTTAGGAAGTACTGCACCTTTTAGATGCCCCGCCATCACCTGACTACTAAGTGTTAACTTGAAAAACAACTTGCTTGTGTTGCCACTCAAAATAACAACTGCTATATGAATCTAGTTGGTTTCAAATTGGCGCTTGCATCTAGTAATTTTGTATCTATTTGATTTGTTGTTTAGTCTATAATTATACTTTTACCTCATGTGAAAAACAATTTATGACTTTTTATATTGAGACACTATAATGCACGATATTGAATATTTAATATCCTAGGAATGTTCATCTAAATAGTTTGTGAGAATGAATCTTAAAATAATCCCTCGACAATTTATGTGTGGCCAATTTATTCTCAGAGTGTCTCATTTCTCCAATTTTTTCACTCCAGTATATAAAAATTGATCCAAAATAGTGTCCCATAAAAAAATCATGAGACAAAATTAATCCAGATTTAGTCCTGAAGGAACTATTTTGAATAAATTTTACATAGTTGAAGAATAAAGCTTTTGGAATGCAATCCTTTGTGGTTAAATTGCCAACATGACAGTAGTCAAGAAACTATTTAAGAGTTTAACCAATAGTTTAGTACCCGCTTTTATTTGCAATTCACCTTATGTTTAGAAAAGAAATATGAATTCAATTTAGATTTTGAAAGTGATTCTGACGAAGATCTTAAGGTGAAATTGCTTGTGTTTGTATTAATGAGTATAACAAACGTTGCTTGATCAAAAAGCCATGCAAGCCCTCATGTTAATGGTCAGTAGCATATAGTGAAAAATTTTTAGACAGTTCATTCCAAGTTATGAAAATTATATTATGGATGGAACCTTGTGTCTAACTAAACTTGTGGACTAACGAAAACTCAAAATAGTTGACATTTGAGAAGCAAATCATAATATTTTTGTTAAATTTACCACAAAATGAGCAATAGCATTCATTGGAGATAATCATATGCAACTTTAAAAGGGCATTAGAAGGAAGTTCTCATTTAGGAACAAAGATATTGGTTCTTCAATCATTTTGAGAGCATTTCTTCCGATATCAAATATAATCTAAAAAATATATATTTTTTAAGAGATGCAAGAATTTAAGGGTTTTAGAATTTGTTTACTTTAAGAAAAATAAATTATTTACTCATAAGTTACATGAATAGAGATATATCAATATAATTGATGGGATGCATGTAACTTCTCTAGTGCCCATAGAAAAGCTAATTCCTTACCGAGGAAAATATAACTAACCCAAACGTGTATATGTAGATTTGATATGATGTTTACTTATATATTAACAAAATAGAAAGAAAAGGAATGATGACAACAAATTTTAAAATATGCATCAAATTTTCAATTAAACTTTCCTATGCTGTCAAAAGATATACTAAATTGTATTTTTAATAAGTATTTTTTGCGATTGTAGCATAAAAATAATTTTATCACATTTGAAATATAAAAATATTACCTGGCTAATTATAACCAAGTTGTCATTTATGTGATTATTATAAGGGCAGTCAATCTGAAAGAAAGATAAAACATTCAAATACAAGCATTCTTATTTGAAAAATATTATTGATTAGAGTTTTGAATGTGATATTTAAAATTCTTGATAAAATGTCCTCTTATGACTTGTACACACAATGATATATTGTCACTATTTGTTGCACATTACATATTTTTTTAAGATCAATAAGTTTAGTCGTATAATCTAGAAGGAGATATTTTTTGGCTTATATGAAAATAAGAATTTCATAGTTGAGAAGGAGATATTTTTTGGCTTATATGAAAATAAGAATTTCATAGTTGATACAAGAGAAAATTTTACATCAACTGACCCATCACATGATGTCATTGAGGTTAATACAACTCAAATTCAATAAAATACATAACATTTTTCGATATCTCATTGCAAGGTAACTTTAGAATTAGAAATATAATAGAGTTAAAGAAATTAACTTTAGCTTCACTAGCCTTCCAGTCTTTTGTGCCACTACTCATGTTAAAATAATATATCTTGTTTGTTCAGAAGTCAAAGAGTTTTACAAGCATTTTTATCATTAACTATCAGACTTTCTTCGTATTAATTCGACGGAATGCTAAGCTTCTTTTCCCAAACATCCCTTCTTTATTGTCTAGTTGTGCAGTAGTTTCATTAGTTAATTGCAACTCCTCAAGTCTTACTGAGAATCTCAAGCCTACAGTTTCATATGAATTCTAAGAAAATATATGAAAAACATTCACCAAGAAATTAATCTGAAGCAAATTTTTATATAGCTATTTTGAATTATCTGCTTACTTTGTGTTGAGCAACCATTTTAGCTAACTATATTTTTCATTGTTTGTCTATGCTTCTCTTCACCCAACATCATTGTTGCTATTTGCAGAATTACATAAATGTAACTCCTTTGCATCATAATCCGAATGGCCTTAATGATAACCTATAATCTTAATGTTTGTACATTTAACTATGTTAATGCTCATAAGCTGAATGTTTTTCACCATTTTTTTTTTGTTTCAGTGATTTATTTATGTTGTTTTCCATGTATTTATATTGCTCTCCATCAGGCACTTTGCTTTTGCCTACAACTATAATTGCTCCATCTTTGCATTTGAACTTTTTTCTTAACTTTATTCATTCAATGAATTCAGACAACTGCTTTCCAACGCATAAAATATTATATAAAATGGAATCATTTTATTTTGTCCTTTTCCATGTTTTCTATTCCACATATGACAAATCTTAAAAGAAATGGCAAAACCAAAGATTTTGTTTTTAGTTTATGAATATAATAAAAGCATAAGAATACTAAATATATTCTATCTTTTTCGTTAGAATAAAAATAAATACAGATAAAACAAACTTTAAATATTTATTAAAAAAAAAAAACAAGTGATTCCAAAAAGCTCCAAAATCAATGAACTGCATGCTATTAGCAACATCTAAGCGCAATAGCATGGATGCACCTATAAAAGGAAATAATAATGGTCTATAACCCCCAGCATGAGTTTAAAGTCCCTAACATCGCGCCCGCCCGGCGCCCAACAATCAGACCTTTGCAAGAAAATAGACACTCAGATTAAAATACAGAATACAATTAGAATCACTCAACTTTTGAATGATCTTAAATCAAGACGAACGTTGAAAAAAAAAAAAAAAGTAAAGCAAGTTAAGAAGAGGCATCTTCGGTGTACATTTCAAAAAGCTGAAAAAAAAGGTCAATCACCACATGCCGCATTTCCCAAAAAACAAGAAAAAACATTCCCAAGCAGTGAGCACTCGTTCAAAGAAAGAGATATCGGAAATCAACCCAAAAGAAAAGAAAGAAACAGTCAAAGAAAACTACCCAGTCAAGCAACAGGACGAGAACAACCAGCTTAAGAACAACGCAAACCCCACGGCCAAACACCACAACAAAATCCAAGCTCAACATCCCCTCCTCCACAAAAAAAAACAAGCCCTGAAAATCAAAAAAAGAAAAAACAAACAAACAAACAAAAAGATCATACCTTTCTCCAAATCGCACACCGAATACTTCCAATTTAACCAGCCAGACAAAACCCCCCAAACCCCAGAACAGTGCAAACAATCTCAATTAACAAAAACTCTCTCCCTCAACTCATCCCCGATCCCATTCTCTCAACCCTTAATCATCACAAATCAAGAACCCACCCTATAATCGGCTAAAGAAAGCGGAAACCAATTTTAGAATTACAAACTCAAAATGAAGCGTGAAACGCGCAGATAAGAACCATCGAAGTAGCCATAAAAAGGGTAGAGAGAGAGAGATAGAGCAAGAAGGCGAGATTACCGGAGCCAGCTGCAAACGGTAGAGAGAGATCGCGAGATCGCCGGCGTTTCACGCTTCGTTCCCCCTAAGCTCGTGCCTCCCAGCCCGTGGCCACGGGAGAGGACCCGATCCCAGCCCAATCTCTGTGATATTTATACTGCCGCAGCAGCTGCCTTCATAATTTGGCTTAACACGGGAAATGAGAATTTATATTATTATTACCGAATAAAAAATATAAAAAAAATAAATAAATTTATAATGTAAAATTAGCTATATATCAGTAAATGGTGGGCCCAATTAGATCTCAGCAAATGGATGGATGAGTTTGACTTGTAAGGCATTGAGTGGGCCCAATTAGATCTCAACAAATGGATGGATGAGTTTGACTTGTAAGGCATTGAAAATGAATTGTAGGTCCAGAATTGAGAGTTGGAATAGGGTTTAGGGAATTGGGGGGGGACTGGGTTTTAGGAACTAGACCAAACAAAGGCAAGGACCACACTAATTGTACCATCCCTGTTAGGCATTTGGGCATCTATTAACTTCAAAATGGTGTACTGTGGTGGATTGACTGGCCAACCCTCTCTCCATTTGGCCCATCGAATATGTTATAAAGAGGCTCTATGTGCTTTTGTGGGAATCTCTGCACTTAGCTTTCTGCCTTTTTCCATGTGCTCTTCCCTTCAATTTATTATTATTATTATTGAAGAATTTATTTAATTATATTGATGACATTGTGTATCATTTGATGGTGAAATGATCATAGATGTGTAGGTTGGCTTCTACGTGAGCCCAATGCGAAAAGGATGCAAGGTTTTTAAGTTTAAGAAGATTATTTCAAGAATATGGTTTATTATAATTAATATATAATTATATTTATTTAAGATTTTAGAAGAAAAGTTTTAAAAAGTAATTTTTTAGTGAACTAGCGATAATCACTTTTCATGAGAAATTAAAAATCAGTTTTTTATTCACAAAGCACACATTTGGCAGGATTTTGATGTTCATTATATATATATATACTCAAAATACTAAACTAGTTTGTAAAAATACTCAAAATAGAATATGCTTTAGTTTATATTAAAATATAAATAAATTAAATTAAATTAAAAGCAAAAAATAGAAAGTAATAAATAAAAATTGATGTGTGGTAGAAGATTCATGGCGATAGAGTAATGTATTATAAACTTAGTGTTGCACGAGAGTTTAGCACACACTCAGATGAAACAAACAATTAGCAGAGATACCATAAGTTTTTACATGTAAACCCTTTGAAAGTGGAAAAAACTAGGGGGTCGGTCAGCTGAAGAAATTCACTATAAAGTGGTAATTATAAGTACAATCCCTCGTTTCACAGGCAGAAAAGAATTTAATACTATTTGGAGTTACAACGTCGATGTACGGATGAACTTGTTGCAAAAAATGGACGGCGGTTGATGATGATCGGTGACAACCAACAGGTGGTGGTCAACGATGTTAGGCAGTGGTCGGCGGCGGTCAGTAGGTCGTGGACTATGTCGATCAGCAAGTAGTGGTTGACGACAGTCGGTGGAGGTCAACAGCAGTAGAAACGGTGATAGACTTCAACTCCTTCTTAAGGCTTCAAGCTCTCTTCCTCAATCCTCAAGTTTTCCCTCCTCATGAGAGGAGTGGGGCTCTATTTTTAGAGTTATGGGAGCAATTAATGCGGGAATATGAACGACTTTGATCGGATAGTCCGGAGAGCTTCCTTCGATCAGACAGCGTTTGATGAGCATTTGAGTTCCTTAAAGATATCAGAATTAAACGATTTTGGGCTCGCTGGATTCTTCTTGTTGAGACACTCGATTCAGATATATGTTTGCTAGATTCGAGATTTGATTGATCTTTCAAATATATTCGAAAAACTTTCAAGAGAGGTTTAATGACTTTGAACTAAGTTTGATTTAACTTGGATTGGACCAATTTTGATATCATTGGGTTCACCTCGTTGAGCCTGTCAGTTTGATTGTAAGATTGCTGAAATCAGAGCTATGAATGACTTTTTATTAAGGTTTGAATATTTTTTACTCAAAAAGTTGCCTCGAGATCTGTATTATGTCTTAAGATTTGTGACATATGCTGAAAATTTATTGAAGACGTATCAAAAATGATCCCAAATGACAGCAAAATAAACATACTTGTTTTAAAAACAAAGAAAAATTTTAAATAAATATAAGAAAATTAAATTTGATCTCAAAAGGCCTTAATTTTTGCATTTTATTTTTATTTTTTATTTTTGTCTTGCTTTATTTTTGTTTTAATTTAAATTAAAACAAATCTGGTTGTAATAGTTGTTCTTAAAAAAAAAACTCAAACTATTCTTTAGTTATTTTGAGTATTCTAAAAATGAATTAATTTTTTAAAAAATAAAATATAAAAATTATACAAAAAAAACATATTTCAAAAATTAAAAAAAAATCAAAAATAAAAATGACACCAAATGAACCAATAAAAAATTAAAAATAAATTGTACTTTGATTTATCCATAATTTTATTCTCCATTATCATTTCATTTTCTGCTTTTTAAGTTGCTTCAGCCAAATGGCATACGGCATTTAAATATAAATTCTATTTTAATATTGAAAGACTTTATATGCCATTCAAGATTTTATCTAATCTGCAATGGACATTAATCTAATTTTCATATCTCAAAATAATTAAATATTTAAATTTGATAATTATTGATTTGACCCTATGATTTTTGTAATTTTATTTTAATTATATTTATCATAAAAAAAAGACGTTTTGATCCCAGTTCACATATACTGAAATCAAAGAAGCCGTTTGGGATGGGTTTCTGCCTTTATGTTTTGTCTTATGAATTTAATGGTTTAAAAAATAAAAAAAATGTTTGGTTTTATAATTTTTTCCAAAAAATTTTTATATGATTGCTAATGTTTTTAGCCAATTCTGCCCAAAAACTATTTAAATGGTATATTTTATGTTTAACACAGCATAATATTTGATGTTAGCTAGAAAATTCACGGTGTTAGAGTATTGAGTTATTGTCTTAGCGTTGCACGAGAATGCAACATACACTCAGGTAAAAGAAAACAATCAGTAATGACACCATGTTTTTTTTCGTGGAAAACCCGTAAAGGAATAATCCAGGGGTCTAGCCCAAATATAAAAATCAACTATAGGTTGATGATTACAAAGATTGGGAAACTGTTACTAGGTTTTTCAAGTTATAATGTCGATTGACGGCTTTCCAGTTGGTGGTGGTTGACGGTGATTTATCGTGATCGACGATCGTCAACAGTCAACGGTGGTCGGTAGTGGTTGACGGGGACAATAATGCTCGACGACGGTCGGTGGTTATGGACAGTGCTCGGCAGTGGTTGACGGTGATCGACGACGGTTGGTGGTGATTGATGGCGGTCGGGTGTAGAGGACAGTCGACGGTGGTCGGCGGTGGTCGACGAAAACCGGCGGTGATTGATGGTGACAGAGGTGGTGTTGGACTCCAGTTCCTTCTCAAAGTTTTAAGTTCTCTCTCAAGCCTCAAGCCCCCTCTCATGAGAGGGGTGGGACTTTATTTATAGTGTTCTGGGTGCAATGAATGCAGGAATATGAACGACTTTGATCAGACGGTCTAGAAGATTTTCTTCAATCAGACGGTGTTTGATAAACATATGAGTCCCTGAACGATGTCAGAATTGAGAAATCTTGGGCTTATTGGATTCGTCTTATTTATAGTGTTCTGGGTGCAATAATTAATTGTTTGTC